CGTTCTTGCTCACATGTGGGACAGGAAAACAAAGATGTTGCTTTGATTGCCTGATTCGAAGCTCCTGCTAGTTTGAGGTGTCGGCTAAAGTGCTCTTTGTACAGGGAGTGAGAGTATTGACGATGCACCTTAGCTATTGCACTGCGCAGCAATGTCGGCACTTCTTCCCAGCTTTGAAGCTCTTGTTCTTCTTCTTGTCGAAACATCACTTCTGAGCTTCTTTTGAGTGCACTGTGATACACATCAATTTCATCCAAATAATACTTCACTTCTCCACATTGTTCTTCCAGCATCACTTGTCGTTGAATGCCGTCTAGGATCATAACACCCAGCTGTGGAGTCCACTGTCCCAGCAAACTTGAGATGTTTCGTCCACCCTTCTGTCTCCGACCTTGCACATGAGCATGATCATGGCTTTCATCACAGCGAAGGCTCAAGGTCGAAGCGAATACCGGAGATGATGTCACAAACCTGGTTGGCTTCAATACATAGTCGTTATTGCCATCCTTCAAATCACTCATGCACTGATCCATTCGTGATGTGTAATGTGGAATATGTTCAATGTTTTCCAAGATGTACTTCCAGGCTTGACTCGACAGCGGATTTTCCAGCAAATAATGACGTCCACCTGCAATCTGAAGTTCACACACCTCTTTCACAAACTCTAAGTGATCCTAGGCGATGTCTTGTTGCAGTTTGCGAACATCTTCATCCAGAAAATTGCTGAGAGGAGTCCACGGGTCGCAGTTGAAGCCCATGGTCACCAGCCGTGGTTTCTCAATGCGAATCTCCTCAAGTACAGCCTGTCTGTCTTCCTTCTTGAGAAAATTGTCGCCCAAAAGAAGATCTCGAGGTTTGCCAAATGACATGTCATTGTCCTTGGCAACGGCTGTGACAACTCCACCATCTGCTCCACTGTAAAGTTCTTTTACCAGCGCCTTTTTCACATGCGACTTTGCACCTTTCCTCAACTCTTTCCATAGTGCTCGACCATGTGCTTTTGCCTCTTCTGCCATCTTCTGCACTTTCCTCCTCAGCTTACTCTTCATGATGCGGATGGTCTCCACATTGAAGTCCTTCGCCTTCAGTTGATGGAAGACTTCAACTGTCTCACCAGCAAGTCGTGTCTCCTTCTTCTTGTTCCTTGAATGCCCAATGTCCAAGAGCAAATGACCTCCTGAACCATAGTCCATCATAACTTTCTCTGATCCAATCGATGTAAATTGAATCGTGGGCTTCGGAGTTGCTGTGAAATCAATCACCGCACCAAGTTCTCGCAATTGAGGAAGTCCAAGCAACAATGGCACATCTGAGTTAGGAAGACGATGGAGTGCAACTCTTCCTTTCTGTCCAACAATATTGATGTCAATCCACTGTTGATGTTCCACGACCACCGGTGCGTCAGCATTGACACCCGTCAACACCTTGCTAGATTGCTGGAAAGATGTTTCATTTCCAAAATTTCCAATGAATTTGTCCAAGGTCCGGTCACCGCCACAACCAATCAAGGCTGCTGTGTCCACAACACACATTCCAGCGGGAACCGTCTCGCCACTTGCATTGGCCATGAAGGTCAGGCTGTGGGGAATGGATGATGTCTCAACATCTTGAATCATAAATGCATCCACACTCAACCAAGGCGCTTCTGTTGTCTCCTGCTCATAGTCCATCATGAAAGTGGGCATCTCAAAAGCCTGAGGCTCGCATTCATCCTCCATCATCCTCAAACACGTCAAGGCATCCTGATATGATGACAGCAATTGGCCTGATGCTGAGGCCAGCATGGCAGCAGCCATACCTGCACGTTGGAGAAATCCTCCTTTGCGACCTCTTTTCTTTCCCTTCTTGCCACCTTTTGAACTTCCGGCCGATGAACCTGAGCCTTTTGGACACGTCTTGTCCCCACGCCAATGTCCTTTCTGCCCACAATCATAGCATTGCGTCCTTGCTTTGATCTGCTGCAGCTTATCTTGTAGTTGACCAGCATTGAGGGTCAGCTTCCCATCCAGAGCAATAACTGTCCGATTGTGTCCAATGGCATTGGGTTGAAATCCTCGATTTGTCTTGCCATCACGGACTGCTTGTCGTTTTCGAGCATATTCGGAAGCTCCTTTGCCCATCTTCTGAATGGTTGCTGCAAAGACATCAAGCTCATCAAATGAGAGGTCCTCCACCGTCATGACCTCGATGGCATGCTCCATCTCCTTGATGTCGTACTGAAGCTCTTCCTCAATCTCGTAAACAGGAACATCTTCCTCCACCTGTTCGTCTTGCCAGTCATCAACTGCATAGCTCTCTTCATTCTCTCCATCATAGCTTGACCATTCCTCCTCAATCGGGAATGCCCATAAGCGCTTACCACCTGGGTTGTAATTGCTCTGCTGTCGTTGCTTGTATCCATTCTTCCAACCTTTGCCTTGTGGCTCTTCACCTCCATCCAGCTGAATGAGCATCGCTTCAACAATCTTGTCCCAATCATACTCATTTCCAGCTTGTCCAAGGATGGCCCGATGCTGTGAAGGGCTAACTCCTGCATTGCGAAGCAGAAAAAAGGCTTGGAGATCTGTCGACAGCTTTGTGTGTCCCTGAATACTCACCTTCTCTTCGACTAATGTAGTCTTGAATGCTTTCACCCAGCTTCCGGCGTCCTTTATCGAAGAAGTAGTCCTCGAAGGTCTGGGTCTTCAGGAGCGGCGCCTCCTTTTCACATGCTAACCTAACCGTCTTCACCACCAACTAAACTGCAACTTTAGGTCCAGCATTCGTTGAAGATTCAACTTCACTGATCTGCAACCACTTTTGGGCAACGATCTCTGGCTTCCTGTGGCACAATGTCCATGCTCTGCCATGCAAGGTGTTCTTCAATTTTGCTGCATATCTTGCTTTCTCTTCCTTCTACACCGTTTGGAATCCCAACCATATACGTTCTTCATATTCTTCTGCCAACTTGGGGCTTCCATCATAGTGTACCACATTGCTCTTCGGGTCGACATACAATAAATGTCAACACAATGTCCACAAATCCGTGCAAAATTTCGTGAAATTGCGGTTGTCCAACTTATCAAAATTTATCAAATTAAAATTCCTGCATCTGCCTTGGATTGTCCAATCACCAACACCCGTTAAAAAAAAAAACCGATGTGATTGTTTCCTAAATTGCCCTGGGTCTATTCTCCCAAACCAATGTTCAAGCTCTGTACGGCCAAAACGAAAATTCCACCAATCAACTCGATCATAAAGAGATTTTGACATACCACCTAGAGCTAAGGTTCGCGCTACCAATTTCAAATGTGCTATTTGCCCTCGAACACAATTTTCCAGCCACGCACACATAGGCTCAAAACCTAGGAAATTCGAGCCAAAATAGCCCGTCACATATATCGTTTAAATATACAAGCTAAGAGTAGGAAAAAAAAAAATATATATATATGCCAAATTATACATACAAATCTTCGCAATATATTCCTTATCAAATTATTTCAAAAATATATTTATCATCTTTAAATTTCATAAATTAATATAATTAATTAAATATACACCATATAAACATTACACCCAACAATCTAAAATATAAATTCAATTGTATAAAATAATATTAAATATCAATCGTTTATATCCAAATATTCCCATTTTAAACCCTAAATAATTAAACATATAATATAATACCAATTAAAATAGAAGTAACTAAAAAAAAATATATTCAATATCGTATTTTTAATCGTACATCGGATTTTATATAATTACATATATAGACCCATATTCTATATTTGTAAATATAATATTGAAATATGTATATATGTGCACATATTTTCGAATAATATCAAATCAACATATTATATATTTATTAGTTCCATATTTTTTCCGAGCTTACTTGATTTCACGCATGGGTACCTAGTAAATCAACAAATGAATTAAACAATGCTTTAACAATTGTCGCCAAAAACGATCAAACATGATCAAACATTTCTATTGTTCCAATTAAGCTCCACGCATGATGAGTCAACGGAGGGGTCAAAGGCTTGATCAACGGGTAGTAGGTGCTCCCTGGCTGTTGTGAGTGGATCCCATTGATTTGACATGCCAAGTGATGCCGAGTGACTCTGATTCTGTGTTTATTCCCTTCCGTTCCCGGAGCAGTTTACCTTTACTTGCTGCTGTAATCTTGCCAGGTGAACGATTTGAATAGAATTTGCGCGGCTTCCTCAGCTTGACTCTTGACTTGTTAAAAACATTTGCAAGATTGCAAAGCATCAATTATCATGGCATTATCAACACAGTTGTTGCCTTTTCACCAAAATGGGATTCACCGGTGAAGGCAAGAAATCTGAGCACTGCAAGACACATGGATTCGCGCTCAAACCACTCCGCCCCAATTGAGACGGATCACGAGATCGGGATCGTGTGTTGCCTCCACAAATGTTGCGGCCCAGCAAGTTCATGTTGGTCTTTGACAAAAGTTGCTACAACATTGCTGCCCTCAAGCAAGACTTATAGAATACCACATGATTGAAGCTGCAAAACTCACAATAGAAAATAACATTCACTTGGGGAGAGCCTAAGATACCAACGACCACGGAAGCATCGTGGGATCTTTTCTTGGGACCAAAACGGGTCTGGCAGCTGCCCGGACAGTGCAGGCTGCGCTCGTGCATTTTGATCACTGAGCTAAATCTCAACTTCTGTGGTCAGCTCATCGGCTCATCGCCCTCGGTTTGTCCAGGTTGTTCCACTCACTCTTCAAACAACATCAAACAATTACATAGGAACTTTCAATGTCCATCAATTGTCAGCTGACACCAGTGCTTCCATGAGTCTGCCGGATAACGCCTTGGAAGCCTGCTTCCAGTGATCCGGTTCCTGCACGAGTAGCAGCATGAGCCTCTACACTAAGGTACCACAAAAGAAAACCCTGCAGTTTCAAACAGGTTCAAGGTCTCAATTTCTCTTTCCGGTTCCTTGTCAAGAAATCTGCAGAATTTAACAGTCCTCTGTAAGGAGGCTCACCGACACTGATGCCTCGGGTCCAGCGTTTGATCCACCAAAACACTAGGAAAGGTTCTCGTGTTTTGTTGTTGAGAGAGCACCTTTCCACTCCGGCTGGCCATCTTTTCCTCAGCTTCTCTAAGGACCTCAGGTTGCAAGAATGGACAAGTCTGTTGTACTTCCATGTTCTTGGAATGAACCCTTGTTCTAGCCAGGTAAGTGGGCCCTAAAGCCAGCTTGCTGCCTAGCTAGTTCCAAGAGACTTCAAGAGGTAAATGAATGTAAATGAGCTAGAAAAGGAGAGGTCATTCTTTGCCGCAAGAGATTCCAACCGGGAGCAAGTGACCAAGTGCGGCTAAGGTTGCCTTGGTGGCTTCGCCAACTTCATCTTCAGGAACAGCTTTGCCATCCACCTGACCATACTCACTTTTGACGTACTTCATACTTTAGAAGGAAGCAAGACTAAACAAAACAAGGAAGAAACATCTAAAGGTGTAGAGAAAAGTAATGACAAGACTTCTCATACGAGTTCCCTGCCTCAAGCACGCGCCAGCCGATTTGCACACCAGCGGGGATTGCGGCGCCTTGCCGAATTTGGATGTCCAAAACCGTTTAGTCGTGTTCTTGCACTTATTAGTTTGCAGTTCAGCCAAAGACCTAAGGCCTAGTAGCATTCTCTCCAGGGCTCCTGTCTGTTAAGTCCAGGTATATAATGAGATTGGTGATGAAAAACATTGGAAAGCCCACTTACAGAGGGATCGTGCACAACTTCCTGTGAGATGCTATACTTCGGAACACTCAATCTGCAGCCTTCGTCTGCCAAGTCCACCACAAGAGCTCCGTCCAGCCTCGAAAGCTTAAAATATACTGTCTTCCTAAGCATATAACTATAATATGCTTCAAAACCATTACTGTATAGGACTGTGCACTTCCAAGCTTGAACTGCACTCTCTGCAAAAAGGTCAGGAAATCATACTGGAATCACAGTTAAGTAAAAGCTCGATTATTTCTGAGCAAAGTTTTGCACCGTCAAAGTGCCCGACTCCATGCCAAAGGGCCGTGACCTCATGAGATAATGAAACAGCATCCAAACTGAGAGGAACTCTGGCACTGACGGACTTGTTTGGAACTTATCAATGACCCAGAACAAGTGGGAAGAAGTCAAAGGAGAGAAGCAAAACCAAATGATACAATTTTCACCTGTCAGAGTGTGCTCTTCAATCGGGGTGCTTGGCTTCTGGCTTGTCATTGAAGGCATTTTTTGAGCAAAGCATCACCTTCAACATTGACTGCGCTGCTGAAATTTTCTACTAAAGTACCAAATCGCACCTCCCTGACTGCTGCAGGACCAGCACCTCGGATTTCGGATCGTAAGTTTCCGTGTTAAACACAATTTCCCAAAGGCGCACTGATCCTTCCTTGATTTCTCTTCTCCTCTTTCTTCTCTTTCTTCTTTTGCTTCTTTTCTTGCTGCTCCAAGACCTGGCCACAGCCCTGGACACTTGGAAACCCATCTCAGTCCAAAACGAGTCCAACGACACTTCTATATGGTGTAAGCACACCTACGGCCTTACCACCCACATCCACCTATGCTTTAAAACTTGACCTACTCATCTCATCTTGCATGAAAAAGAGAACACGAGAAACGATGCCTAACTACAGAAAAATAGAATACACTAAAGCATTCTACATAGACAAAACCAAAAAACCTCATGAGACATGCCTCCGGCGGGAAGACCTGCGGACCGATCCGCCGAGGTGGCTCCGGCAGCTTCTGTGGCCCAACCTGGTTCTGAGCTCAGTGGGAAACCCATCGGTGGGAAAAGCTTTATAGAACAGCTTCACCGTCATCGTGCTGCCTTAAAGCATTTCTTTTGTATCCTGAAGGTGCCTGGTGCCTTGTTTCAAGGTGCATAGCGGAGGGTGCTACAATTCATCTCTGTTCCAGCTGGCTCGGAAGGGATTGCTACCAACAACAACAACAACAACAACAACCCATGATGTAAAGAAAAGATAAACATGTTCGCAACGTAATTGCAACTGGGAGGATGGAATCGACCTCGTCCTCCTCTTTGCCCATTTTGGTATCCTTCTTCTCATTCTTTTCTTTCTTTTCCTGACACGGTTTGCCCACACTTTCTTGCTATTGCATTGTTGTGCTGTTGCCAATCTCCTTCTTTCCATCCTTCTCTTTCTCCTTGCGCATGCTTGTCCATGAACAGTGCACGAAAGGGCATCACTCAAGCTCACCAAGCCTTCTTCTCTTTCTTCTTTTCGTGTTTCTCTTCCTTTTCTACCTCAAAACCCAGTGGCCAAGCATACAAAAGCCATCAAAAGCCATGCTCGCAACGCTGAAAACGGATAATGCAGTCAGCAAACTCAAGATATGCAGCGAATCATCCGAATTATTTCAGTTGTTTGAACATAATGTATTTGATAACTCTAAAGATTTTTCATGCATCCCTGGATTTCTCAGAATGTGTCTCATCATGATCTAGCCCATACAAGTAAGAGTTCAACTGGAGCTGTATCGGAAACTCAAGAATTCCTAGATCCTCCTGTTGATTCTGAATTCTGTCCGCTGACTGTTGTATCAAAGAAAAGATTGTGTGCTCTTTTCCAGGAGTGGCCAACATATTTCGCTCTACCTATATATTTGTTGATGTTTTATGCACTGTTTGTACGAACCAAAATGACAATGAACATCAATGAACATTGTCAAAACCGTTTCTTCCTGAATGGGCCCAAAACCTAGCCCTCCACCATCATCATATCATGAACTTCCAATGTCCATTTCAACAACCTGATTGTTTTGTAGGGTTGTAGGGCATATTATTTATTAAGTTCTCATGAAACAACATGTACCACATCTGTGACTTCACCCGTGCATTCAGTTTGGTGGTTCCCTGCCAAAAAACGGCAGTGATTCGTGCAAGGTCCAAATTTGCTTCTTTGAACTTTGTTTTCGAGTTGCTGAGTAAAGCGTTCGGCATTTGAGGTAGACAAAAAGATGTGGGCCTTGTGTTTTTTATCTTTGCTTGCTGTCTTCTCCTCAGAATGGTCCTCAGCAAAAAACAAGGAGCTTGGTTCGCTGTATCTGTGGCAATTGGCCAGAAAGGTGACTGTGATGGTCCTCATCTTTGGTCTTCTTTTCTTTTTTATGTTTTTTGCCAGAACCAGCATCCTGAAAACAGGAATGAACTGAAGAATCAGTTGTCATAACCAAATGCGCTTTAAGGTGCGCTCGAGTTGGCGATTGGACAAAGTCACGCATCATCAACAATGTTTAAGCACCACTCAATCAAGTGGGACGGCTCAAATTAGGAGCGGCAGCGCAAGCAACCAAAATCCGAACGGAAACCTGTGCGCACTGGTCTGGTTTTTTGGAAATACCCCACTGCACGTTCTTAAGTTTTAGTCCGAAACAATCTTTTGACCGGTTGTGACCGGTACAATTTCTATTTTGTCCCATAACCATGCAGGCACTTTGCTCTAGCTAGTACTTCCAAAGAAAATGAAAGCGAACATTTGGAAGAAATGGCGGTTGATGAAACGTTTCTTCCGTTGGCAGCCATGGCAGCAGTTGAAACTTGAAACACAAGCATGTCCGGCATGAAACCAAGGTGCATGACATCAGCCAATGTTCTTTGTTGGTAAGCTGGCTTTGCTTTCGAACAGGTCAGCGTCTCAGTGCTCGTGCTGGCGAACTGGTTGGTTTAGCAGATCAGCTTCCCTTCACGAACCCGTCATTTAGGCAGGCTTTCTTTCATGGAGCATCGGCGCAGGGCCTCGAAAGTTCTTCGAACATAGTTTCTAGCGCCATCCAAGTGAGAGGGCGCAGCGGTTGACATGGCTCATCAAACTCTGGTCGCAAGTCACGATGAGGCTTGGCGGCGTCATCAAGATCGTCTGTGCCCTTCTCGCGCTTTGAATCTGCTAGATGAACTCTGGCGGGGATACTTAACCGACAATCGGCTGCGCCGCGCCGTCTTAATACCTTTGTCGTAACCCACAAACATCCAGCCGCGCTGAATCTATGGGACTCGAAGCTGCTGCCGGGCGTTGGCAATGCTGAGCACGGAGGAGTTTTGATTGCAAAAACCTGAAGTGACTCGTCGAAAACCTCTTTGGCATCCGTCGCTCCAGTCGAAGGCGCGTTTTCACCGTGGGGTATCCACTCTCATTCAGCCCGATTGCGCCAGATGCATGCAAACCAGGCCCTTGAGAAGCTTCTTCAGACTTGTCAGATCTTTCCAAGCCAAGCTTCGTGAGTGCTTTTTTGCACGACCTCACTTCAACTGCCTTCGTGAAGTCACCGCCCAAGTTGACAACCCGCTCTGACACTTTTCTCCTCCACCTCAGCAGCAGTCAAGCGATTGAATCGATTCTGGCAACTGTCCTTGAAGCTGTCACGCTGTTCAGTGTGGTATGGTCTCTTCTCTGCTTGCTTCTGGGCCTGCTCCAAATCTATGAGAAGTTCACCAAGATCAGCGCTTAACTCTCAGGTGGTGCAATCCTCTCCAGTATGTTCCAACTTCCGCAAGAGCAAGTGTTTGCTGAGCGCTTGTAATTTTCCAACTGCAGCCCACGGATCCGCTGATGAAACCGCAGACCTCAACTGCTGACTTCTGCAATGGGACCCACATTTTGCCAGCAGAGAGTTGTACTCAGAGGGCCAAGGCATCCCCAAACGCCCGCGCCTCTCAGGCATAGATGAGGCATGGCGCGCCGTCGCGCGTGACTGCTTCATAGCAAACCTGGAGGGGCTTAAGCCCTGAGGTCTTGGACAGGTCAGCCCTGGAAAGCCACTTGAATTCACGCAAGCGGCCTTCAGCCCCAGAAAAGGATTAGATGAGACAAAGCTTACCCTGACCAGCCATCTGTCCCTTCTCATCCGACATTGCCCTTGAGCCGAAGAGGCTCGAGCTGCACGGTCAGCTTATCCAAGGCGAAATCTCAGTCTTGAGGTTTCAGCGACGCTCAGCGGGGTGCACAGAGGCCAAGAAGACTTGTGCTTGGGGCCTGCGGGGCTCCACATGTCATGTGGGTCAAACGCAAAGGCTCTGCGCAACAACTGCGGTAGCTAGGGTCCCGAGAAAAGCGGCTAGGAACGCTCAAAGGCATGGCGACCCAACACCCCTCCTCCACTAGCGATTTGGCTCAAGGCCTAATGGAAGCAGTCCCCCAAAAAGGCTACGGCGTAGTTAGTGACCCCGTTTTTTGTGATTGCGCCAAGGATGGCTTTGGTTGAACATGTTAAAAATGGGGGTTCTCGGCGGTGTTAAATGTCATGTCTTGTGATTGGCGTTCCCAGTCAAGCTCCGTGTTCATGGTGTTGCTTTTTCGCGGCGGTCACAAGATTTGTTGGTTCGAAATGTCGCATTTTGTATAGCTTGTCTGCTTAAACAAAACTTTCGTGCTTCTCACTCTCATATGCAGTGGGCGGCTCCCATATCACGCAAACTGTTTTTCTCAATGGCACACCACCTTGCGACAGAGCTCTCCCGCTGCCTGCCACAGATCTTTGGTCGCATTGTTGCGAAAAATGCAGGATTTCACACACAGCATCAGCGATGTTGCAGCTGCGTTCCTTCTTGCTATGGATCGTTGAAGGTAGGTGACATCATCTTCAAAGCACGTCCAAACCAACGTCATTGGCCCCCCTCTTGTTGTAGAGTTTGATTCACTTTGTACTTTTGGCTCAATGTTTCGCCCGATACGCGCTGCGCTACCGCCATAGCAGAAAAGCGAGCTCCCGCGTCGTTCGCTTGCAGTCAACCTATATAGGCAAACCTGGTGTGTTCGACCACAGGTCCAACACATCTAGTACTGCCACTTTGGGGAATTCACCACCCCCACCTTCCAACGTGTGTGTGTGTCACACTCTGTTTCCAAGAGCTTTTACACGCAGGGGGCCGGAGCCAGGTGCGGGGTCTCCGGCACCTGGGCGCAAACGTACCTGCGATCAACTGTTGTCCAAGCTGTTCTACTCTCTTTTTTGCTTTCATGGTGGTTTTCATGATACGTCCCCCAAACCAGGTTTCCATGCACGGCGTTAATTCGGTCTGCTAAGTAATCAGTAACTAATTGTCTGCAGTCATGCATCACGAGAACACGTTTTTCAAACACCTTCAAGTGATCGGACGCTTCACCTTGCCGTTGAGCCATTCCTTTTCTCGGGGAATTGAGTTAACTGAAAACCCAATGTCAAAGTGCAGGGTGTGATCCCCGTCACTGGGGCGCTGTTTTCATGCCGGAGTATCACTGACGGATTTTGCTGCTTTCCGCACACGTTGGATTATCTTAACCGACTTCGTTTCACCACTGTATTCCCCAAATCCAAGCCGCCGGGCACCACGGTTTTTACGACCGCCGGGTATACGGAATGTCAAAGCCGCCGGGCATACGGTGAATGACCCCACACAACCCCCCCCCCGGCCGAGTTCTCTACTCCCCACCTAATTAGGGTAACAGACGGAAATGGTACTCGACACACTTGTGCGTCGGTGCCTTTCCCTCTGTTGTCCCTGTTCTAGTCTACTCTACCCGGGCGGTTTAAGACTAAAGTCCCGCTCCCTAACTATTGCACCTAATTAGTTTCCGCTAAGTAATCGGTAACTCTAGAGCGCTAAGTATTCAGACACACACATGGACATACACCCCCTCCCTGCCCCCGCTTTCTTTCTTGCGTTTTTCGTCGTTTCTTGGGCTTTCTTTCAGGCTTTTTAGGTGGTTCTTGAAGCTCGTTTCCCTGCCCCGGTCAAGGTCTAAGTGTTCACCTTTTGCTACACCTATCTTTCTCTCCTGCCCTTTTAGCGCTGCTCTTTCTGTTTTTCCGCCAGAGCGCCGCAAAGCGGCTGAGTGTGTGTGTCACACTCTGTTTCCAAGAGTTTTTACACGCAGGGGGCCGGAGCCAGGTGGGGGGTCTCCGGCCAACGAAGACACCCCCGACCTGGGTGCAAACATACCTGCGATCAACTGTTGTCCAAGCTGTTCTACTCTCTTTTTTGCTTTCATGGTGGTTTTCATGATACGTCCCCCAAACCAGGTTTCCATGCACGGCGTTAATTCGGTCTGCTAGGTAATCAGTAACTAATTGTCTGCAGTCATGCATCACGAGAACACGTTTTTCAAACACCTTCAAGTGATCGGACGCTTCACCTTGCCGTTGAGCCATTCCTTTTCTCGGGGAATTGAGTTAACTGAAAACCCAATGTCAAAGTGTGACATCATCTTCGAAGCAGATCCAAGCCAACATCATTAGCCCCCCGCCCAACCCAACCTTCCGAAGCGTGTGCATGTGACATTATCATCTTCGAAGCACATCCAAACCAACATCATTAGCCCCCTACCCCCCCCCCCCCCCCCCCATCTTCCAAAGCGTCTGTGCATGTGACATCATCTTCGAAGCACATCCAAACCAACGTCATTAGCCCCCCACCCAACCCCCCACCAAACATATCAAACATACACCCACACGCATACCTACTAATGTCATCCAAACCGAAAGACAAACAAACAAAACAATCATCTGGGGTCGCAAACAACGCCGTTGGCAAAAACAAGCATGTCCGGCATGAAACCAAATCAATCGGATTTCTGAACGAACATTCGTGTTTAGGATGGTGATAGCGATGGCTTGTTCACTTCTTCCAGTAACAGAAGTTTGAGGCAGCACAATGTTGGCAAATGTGAGCAACTCTTCAAGATTCACTCCAAAAAGCTAGTAGATCATCCAAGACCAAGACTGTCAAAAGTTGTCAGTAACGTTGGGCTTCAAGTGAATTGATTCAGGTCAAACAGGGGCCATTCCTCGGCGTTTTCCATACTTATCGACCCGTTTATTTCAGAGGAAGAGCCTAAACGCTGGGCATTTCTAGGCTTTGGGGAGAGAGAGAGAGAGCGCGTTTTTTTGCATGTTCTAGAAGTACGGTACAGTCCTCAGCTTTGCTCTTCTTTACTTTCTTGGCTGGTACCGGATCCGCCTGATTCAATGCCAACACAGCCGTATGGAGAAGTCGTAAATCACACAAGTCCATCAGTCGCTTCAAAGCAATTTACACTGAAAGTCGCAAGCAAACCAATCCCATGGAGAAACACTTGAAGGCTGTCCATGGTGTCAGTGCCAGAAATACATCATTATTCCATTTAATAAACCAGCATCAGTTGTTTGGTGAGATTGGCTACCAGCATGCTTGCAAAAGATCCATGCAATGTGGACAATTGACTGCAAATCCCACCTCGCTTGATTCGCTGTCTTTTCTCTTCTTGCCCATGGCTAACCAGTGCAGCTAGCTAGCGTGGGTTGGATACCCATAATTCTGTCTTATGGCGGTCCGATGGAACAAGTAGCTTCCAACATTGCACATTTGGCTACAAACACAACTTACCGTTTCGAATTCTCCGCTAGTCAGCCGATACTCCAAATCGAACTCTTTAGCATTTGAAGCAGCTGACTCCGTTGTTGAGGCTTGGACCTTGCTCATGATTCTGCTGATGATGACATCATTACTCACTATCTGCAAACAGCTCTGAGAAGCAGTTGCCCAACTAACGCCACATCATGCCAAAGGTGCACTTCTAGAATCATGATTCCATGCGCCTCACCACTCCAGTGTTGTGAACAAGCCTTGGTGTGCAAAAGCAAGGACACAGCAACATAATTTGTGTTCCAAGTATCAACAAAGTGGTGACATCGACCATCAAGTGGACAAGGGACGTCTCTTCCACTTCATGCTTCGCCTTTGGGCTTCCTCCCCAAACGAGTGAGTACCTGCATGTTCCGATGAGGCGGCAAGTTGCAATACCAAGGAACTTAGGGAGAATCCTTTTGATGCGGATAGGATGTAGATAGAGGAGTCATGCACTCCTTCGCACAACACAAGAAAGCCCACATTCATAATGTCACTCAAGAGAACTTTCACCGCGCACCAGCGACCGTAGAAGATGTGTCCTTTCCCGTGAATTCACACATCTACAGCATCTGATGTTCAATGTTCTATTGAATTGTTAGGGTGCGGTCACAAACGTTCAATTCTGAGGTTGGCACCAACCTCTTTTTTGTACAGGGCCTTTGCGGTGTGCCGCCAGCCCAAATCCAAGATCCTCACATGAGGGAAGAGCATGCAAATGCTGAGACAAAGACATAAGTGTTCGTGAAATCAACACTGACATCCTGAAAAGGGCACCCTCCCGCTCGACAATGACTCGAGCAGTTTCCCTGGAGGTGAGCAGGGAATGTCAACAAAGCAGTTTTACAGTGAGGATATGGCTTGGCTACCTGCGGACACATGTTGAAACTCTTGAGTGCAAACCTCTGGAATGCCGTTGCACAAGTTTTGTAGTTCCCATATATATTCCATATGTGATATACAGTGGATCCGCCTCATCAGAAGCTTAGTTTCGCTGGCTGGAAACTTTGCATGAATCTGAGCAAAACAGCACACAGCTGACGCGGCTGAGCCTTGTTCAAACCCTATCAAAAATCTCTTCTTACGGGCTCTTCCTTTGCACATTTCTTTTGCGATACTTTTCTCGGCTTGCCGTTTGGCTTTCACGCACTGTATTCTGCACAAAACTGCTCTCGAAATCTTTTGTGACTGTGTGTTTACTTTTCGCAAAGGCATCTTACATTATCTTACATTAATATCTCTTCAAGTTGTCACATGGGAGGTTTTGGTTGCTGCTCGGTGCAGTGGCAATGCCCTAAGTGAGCAGCTCAGGGCCGTGCCAAAACAAATGTCTCATAGAAAACCATGGCGTCTCAAACCACTGGATAGAGGCCTCTTGCAAGTGCCTCTAGAACAAGTAAAGATTGGAACTCTGTCAAGCATGCCATAGCGGAACATGCCATGATTGCTACTAAGCAAAGAATTCCTCGGCAGGATCAAGGTCCCGGCCACCATTTTCATGACATTGCATTACTGATTTCGCTTGCCCATCACTGGACTCATCGCATCGAAGACCTTTCTGAGCTGTGGCCAGCAAGCAGCGATAAATGCGATAACAATTACAGATGCAAACTTTTTACTCCTCTTGTCCTTTGAATGCATGCATTGCAAATAGAATCAACTAGAGGTTCAACAGAGTTCAATCATCTTTGTCCGACTCTGCATCAACTTTGGCCAATCACCCAGAAAATTATCCCAGTGTTGGCGACAAATGTCGTAATCAACTCTTATCCGATGTGCAGTGTGGCAAAAGCAATGCCCTGCACAAAATGCCAAGAATCTGCAGCAATTTGCCACTTGACTTTGCTCGGCGCTCAAAAATGTACGAACCTTGAACTTTCATTAACTTGCACACAACATCGAATTCCAGGAATTCAGCATTGCTGAAAGAGCATGAAGACTGAGTCCACACAGCAAAGTTGTGTCGTTCTTTGGCTGTCTTGCTGATCAACACAAATCAAATCTGTTTTCATGAAATGCTCTGCAAAAAGACCCAGCAGTCCATGTCCAAACCAAGTCTTTAAAGTGAATCAGGAAATTCTGCGATGTCCTGCGATCAAACCTGCAAACCTTGTGTGCATCTGCATGAGCAAGGAACGATTAACATCCTGCTCAAACGGCATAAAAGCTGTTCAGTGACCTCTCGCTCATGGAGGCCTCAGTGGATAAGGAGCTTGAGACATTCTTCAGACGAAAATCGCCCAAACTTCTCCTCAGCCTCCGACCCAGTCTGGAGGCCGCTCAGAGTCCTCAGGTTCAACAGTGGAACTAGCTTAGCACGTCTTAGCAGTACAAACAGTGGAGAATCGGTTTCATGACAGCGACTTTGTTTGCGGTGTTTTGATCTGTGATCCAAAAGAGAGGCAAACCCACAAGAAGCCGAACGAAGCACACTTGGCGCGCAACAGTCTCCGGAGGCTGGATGAGAACCTCGAAGGCTTTAAAGTGGGAAAGGACTCGAAAGTAGCTTTGTCAGGGATGCAAAAGTCCTGTAGACTTCGAAACGCTTGGGATTTGCGTACGTTTGCGTAGTGCACCTCACCTCTGCTGACTTTGGTGATGGAGATGGCCAAGCCATGGTGGGGAGAGGGGTCGATGGATTGACGGCCTGGCGAGGACCATTCGAAAATCATGATAAGTATGATAAATATTGTCATGATGATTGGATATTAGACTCAAACACATGTTGTTGAAGACGAATCATAAGGACCTTAGCCTTCAAAATCCGGAACATCTGCTTTATCACTGTTTGGCAAGGAAACTAATTTCAAGCTACAAGTACTTTGGTGGACGACCAAACGAATTGAACTGGGTGGCTGGGTGTACATACTTACTAAGGATTCTAATTGCCTCTGGACTCTGAACAATCTGCCCAGACCTGCGGTGTTGATTCTGGAGATGGCACCCACACCTGTCAATAGGATTTTGAGTGAAACCATAAATGCAGCATGTCTGCTGGCACATCAGCCATCAAGTCATCGAGCAAATCGGGGCCGGCGGGGCAAAGTTGTATTGCAAATTACGAGACGTGTGATCGATTCACCATGGTGACTGATTCAGTCATTCATTTCTAATGTAGGAGCAAGGATAGAGATAGCCAAGCCATGCCAAGCCTCTAACCTCAAGGCCCGAGATCTCATTCTGTAAATGCGTGAGCCTGGTGCTCGGGCGAAGAAGGAGTCCAAGCCCAGTCCTTGCACGACGAAACTGAACACGTCGTCACAAATGTGACCTGTCCAAATACCTCCGATCACTTTACTGTTGAAACCCCAATCGGTAATCCAAACGGCCTGGCCGCACAGCCTCGCTACCATTTAAAGTACAGTGTTCATAGCCATGGTCAAACAATCTTTGTGTGTCTGTGCATCTGAATCGTTGCGTGCTTGCAAAACGAGCTGGTACAAAGATGTTCCGAACGACGGGTGGTACGAAACGTTGTTGCTTCGTCTGAGTTCTTTTTGTCGACCCATGCCCCAAGACCTCCAGATTGAAGGCTCCATGGCATGAGGGTGTCTGCGTACTGGGAGAGATAGATGTCTGCAGAAGGAGCAAGTTATCGAGCTTCGTTTGGCTTTTTGCTTCCAACTCTGGCTGGATTGCAAGGAAGGCAGCTAACAAAATTGATAGCAACAAATCAAATCTGTATATTAGTATACATGTAAAAGTATATATACTGTTCGATCTGTTTAGAGAGAAATGCAGTAGAAACAACATTGGTGCCGAACTGCCCCTGCCTGAGATGTCTGGTTCCGTCTGGCCTTTAGCTTTGAATCGAATATATCCACCACGCACTGCAACGCCTGCAAACGGTCTTCAAAGACTTCACATGGGTTTGGTAGACTGAATTTGATTCTACACAAAAATCAAAACCAGCAGCCAGCAAAGCAACAAAACAGCTATGCAAGCAATGAGTCAACCAATTGGTTGACATCTTGAGTCAATAGATGAAGGACTGATGCCCCAACAAGAATTTGCTGGCCACGTTTGCTAGGATCGATTCATATCCGATTTTTGCTAAACAAAAGCTGCTCTTTCTGGGAGAACAAACTGGGCTGAGCTGCACTGCACCGCTAGGGAATAAATGTTGCCAAGCCTTTGGTATGTTTCGAATACTGATGCTGAACGTATTGGAACTTGACACATTCTCAGAGACGACCCATGGCAAAAGATTGAAATTGTGCCTCCTTTGATCTGAACATCATGTCCATCTGCTGAGGGCAGCAGCTCTCGCTGAAGGTGCACCGCATCTGCAAGTGTTTGATACAAACGTAGGGGTGTGGACAGTGGAATAAAGCCTGTTCAAACTTTCAATTGACAACGAAATGGACAAACGTGCATTTACGATCTTGTACGATCATGTGCGTCTGTATCCACAGTCCTGCCTTTTGACACTTGTTACTAGCATACTGTCTCAAACAGTGGAACTGATGTCCACCTTTGCCTGTGAAGGCCAAGTGCTTGCTTGTTTCTGATTCCAAGGGTGTTATGTATATATATACAATACATATATGTTGATGTTGTTCTTCTTCTTATTATCGTTCTTCTTCTTGTTCTTGTTGTTGTTGTTGTGGTTGTTGTTGTCCTTCTTGTTCTTGTTCTTGTTGCTGTTGTTGCTGTTGTTGCTGTTGCTGCTGTTGTTGCTGTTGCTGCTGTTGCTGCTGTTGCTGCTGTTGTTGCTGTTGCTGCTGCTGCTGCTGCTGGTGCTGCTGCTGCTGGTGTTGTTGTTGTTGTTGTCTTTTGAAGACCCGGGGGGTAGGCCATGTAGAGGTAGTAGCTAGAGGTAGCAAATAGTAGCTAGGCAGCTAATAGCTTAAGTAGCTACTACTTAGGACGCAGGATAGCTCACGCTTCCTTGAAGAAGTGCTGGCACTATTCATTTGGTTTCTAGATTTTTAGGGAAACTTAACACTGTGGGACTGTAGATGAGGCTCTGTCTATCAAACGTGTACAGTACGCTGATTGACTGTCATTGTGAGTTGGTCTTTCAGAATCATAGATTCATGTAGCTAGATTTATACTAAGGGCGGTACCATTTCGCGAGTGTAGTATCCATTCGTCCACAGCTCCTAGCAAGAGTGATGAGTAAATACATGCGCAAACATGCTGGCTTCTAGCCACTCCGCCTTGCGTTCATTGGCCACCTCACCAGCTTCCTGTCTGTGTTTGTGTGTCACATCTGCAAAGGGTAGCTTGGGTATGCACTTGCAAGTCTTTGCAGTTTTAAGATGCTGTGTAGGGACTAACGGGTCCTCTGTATGTCCATCATATTCCACAAAGTGATACTTCTGCATGTCCTCAAGCACTCAGCCCAGCCATAGGATCAAACATGATCAAACTATTTGTATGCACATGCACAATCACTCTCTCTATATATTTTATATATATACTATATCTTTTAAAGTTGTTATCATCACCCAATGAGCTTCACAAGCTGGACCTCCCAGGCGTAGTGGAAGTTATTCTTGTCCCGGCTAACTTTCCGATCCAACCTTGATCTCCCACTGCAATGCTCATGCAATGTGTTTGCTCAAATATAAAGTTATTGTCCCCTCAAAACACTTGGCTGCAAACAAGCTGAAATGTTCTCCGCCTTTGTGGATACACACAAAGTACCTTGGATTGAAAGTTGGGACAAAGAGTGCACGCGCTGCTTGGCTGGTCGGTCTCCAAGCCAGGCGGCTCTGCGAATCTGTTGCCGAGCACAACAGTGCGGAGCATCAGGGGCAAGCCATGTTCCAGCAAGTTCCTGGTCATGTTTTAAATGTTCGGTTTTTGAAACCTGAGTTAAAACTTGAACATCCCCAAAATGGCAAAGCACTCTGTAGACTGACACGTTCACATCCTACTCGATACTTGACAACAGTCTTGCCAACTAAGATTAAATACGTGTCCTGTTTCCTTAAAAAACTAGGAAGCAACTCATTGGTGCGAGCGCTTCTTCAAGGAAGCTCCTCACCCTCAGGCGGGGGGGAGCTTCCTTGAAGACGCGTGAGCTATCCTGCGTCCTAGCTAGGAGCGAACTTCTCCTAGTAGCCTACTTCTCCCTTACTCAATTAAGTAGGTTCCTACTTGTAAGGGCGGGCAAAAAAATGAATCAGAACAACTATGAAGTCAGTTGGCCTTTTCACCGTGCATAAAGTCTCAACCTGGAAACAGCACAGATATATTCAATGAAACTTGAAACTGTTTCAGTTTTGTTGTTTGATGACGTTTGCAAATCTCTCAGAATCTTCTGATCAACTTAAAGCCAATCAGGCCACCAACTGCTTTTTCGATGTCGCCCTAGGACCTAGCTAGGAGGATGCCTCCAAACACTTTGATTTCAGGGAGTTCGCCACAAAGGAGCTGTGAGGCTCAGCCTTTGAAAATACACGTGTCACATGTTTGTTTAATGTGCGTCTTTCTGAAATCGCCGTCCTTCCTCTCAACAGTATGTTTTCTTTGTGCGAATCCTTCTGACAAGGACTTGGATTTTGACTCTCCCTGCAGTGCCCATCCACTCTTGTCTGGTGCTCATCGTCGCTGATCCCAGGGTAGAAGCATCCTGCTTAGCTTGTTAAGACTACCCGAAGCACAAGAGGAAAGCAGCAGCAAGGTGAACATATCAAGAAGCATAGAGTCATAGAGACTAATTACTCCATTCTAGCAGGCTCCCCATTACTGGTCCTCACAAGAATGCCTCTTCTATGAAATAAACCAAGCACAAATTTAGATTAATTACTTTAAAACCAGTGTCAGTGTCAGTGTTGATACTTTGCAAAACTGCACCGGAGTCCTGGGCACGTGGAGTCCCGCAGCTACAAACGACCAAGCTTTCATCGCAAGTGGAGATGCCTACAAATGTCAACAACAGGATCTTCGTTCGTGCCACCGAGGCTGTCGGACAGTGCAGTTAATCGCACAGAAGAGTCAAATCATGCACCTGCTGTGGAGTAGGTCATGCATTGCCTTGGTGAATGAGACAGATCTAGCCTAAGAATGGAAAGGAGCAATCTTCCAGAGTCAGAGGTGTCACGATACGACTACTAATGTTTTGGCATACTGTACTTTCAATGGTCTCTGTCTCAACGTTGTACTGCTCAACACAGACACATCAACATCATCACTCGAACATCTTGGACATGAACTCATCTGTCGTCATGCACAGCTCCTTGACCTTCCTGCGCAATGCTCATGTCACATGTCATCAAGACCTCCTGGTTAATGAATGGTAAAGTGCTGTAGAATTGATGCAAAACTACTCTCACCATGAAAAGCACATTTGACTTTGCTTTTTAAGGGACTTGTCCCTGGCTTGTAACCTCAAAGCAAAAGTCCAACACACCCACATTTGGTCTCGGCAAACATATCTGAGAGAAGAGATAAGAAGAGTCCAGTCAAAATTGACACTGAGCTCAGGTTTCAAGTTGAATCCATCCACTTATCTTTAGGTCTTATTCAGCGATCCAACCATCAGTTCATTTTCACGCGCTTTGCGATTTGTGTGAGGCTCTCCAGACTGAATGTTCTCCATTTCGTCGGAGTTTGCCGCTAAAGGTGCTGCATGTGGGTGCGGGTCTCCGACCAACATGCAGAGTCTATGCAATTCAAACAAATTAATTAGTTGGGTCACAGAAAGCCAGCAAATCAGCCAGGACAAATCTGATGTGCAGCTTTTGCGGCATTATGAATATACCCCTTCTGCTGCTTCTGACCGACAGGTCTATGTAGTACAACAAATTCCAGCGTCCTGAGGTACTTCTGATTTGCGGCCCTGTTCACGATTCCAAACGCAGATTCTGTGTCTCTCAGAGTCTGCCAAAAAAACAAATTAGTCAAAAGTGCAGGATCGTTCACTTTGGGTGCAGCCTCTGGCGTAGCGCGTTTCTGTTGCTTTAGTTGTCCGAATCCTCTGCTTAAAGCCGCCTTCGAATCACCTCACCTATAAAACTTCTCAGTCACTCACTTCAAGTTCTCTCTAGATCGGAAGATGTTGCGACTGCTCTGCCTATCATCTCTCCACAGCCTTCAAAGCCAGCTTTCCTGGCAGAAAATCATAGTTGAATCCATCTGTGAAGGGTGTCAGGAACCCAATGTTGAGTCTCAAGACGTTTCACGTAATTAACAGATGGTGAAACTGACCGGTGCACTGCATCCGAGACTAACTAGCCTCACGCCTGGCATGTGAGCAAAATCTCTTCATTGAGTTTGAAGTTGAAATGCACCTTGAGAAGAAGAACACCAGCATCAGCAAAGGAAAGCTCGCATGGAAGAATGTATTGAAATGTATTGAACACATGAGCTGAACCTGGGAATTTATGAGGAAAAGCCGTGTACTTCAAGCGCTTCCACACAATTCTACTCACCGCTTGTGGAAACGAATTACTCTACTTAAATAGTCTGTATACTGTATACAGAATAAACCAGCTCTGTGTCCAAGCTGAGTGGGCTGGGCTACTCGCGTGACAAAACAAAAGGTCATTGCTGCTCCTATCTCCAACAACAACAACAAACCAATGGTAGTGTGAAGGCTTTTGTGAGCAGCAAAACTCGATTGGCGAATTGACTTGGTACAACCGTTGGGCCCAGGAACAGGATTAAACAACACAGCTACATACCCTCTCTCAGACAATCAAACATAATTAAGCTCTTCCAAAACAATTTTCCTGTGCTGTTCAGGGCCCGTGATTGTCGGGAGGGCAACCTCTGAAATTGTGCAAATGTCTTTAATGGAATAAATACTAATCTTTTTTTCAATACAAATCTTTGTTTAATGTGCAAATCTTTGTTTAATGTGCAAATCTCTTTGAATTCACTTTCTCCTGTATCTCTCTTCTTCTTTTCCCTCGCCCTGTCTCACCTATTGACTTATGTTTCACGGCCTTGAGGTGCTTCAACGACGAACGCCTTGGTCAAGGGATGCGCAAGACACGTGTCTCAGCGTTTGTTGTTACATTTGGGTTTGACCCACAGCATTCACCATCTGACATCATCTTGTTTTAACCACTTGCCATACTTTGCAATGAGACTTTATCTGTTAAAACTGCTGAATCAGGCGCCTCTTGCTCTGTGGCTTCGCAGAGATGGCTGATTCAATAGGTGGTAGGCAAGGCAATGAACTGCTTCTGCCTGCACCAAATCCCTGCATGTTGCATATCAATTACATTGAAACACCATAGAACATGCGCATCAATGCGAACTTGTTGCACATATCACATATGCTCATGCTACCAAACTGGAGGCACACTGTTGCGTGAACACACTTAGGCACTTAGGGTGATGTCGATCGAAGGTCTGAGGTCGTCCAATTGGATCCACACCTAATGTAGGGAGCTTCGCAGCCTCCTTCACAACAGGGATTTGTAGGTGAAGTGCTGGGAAACCGTGTTTCAGTGTTGAAGACTGTGCCCCAACAAATCAGGTATGTGAAAACTAGACTCCTGCTATTTGGCCACAATGCAACCGACTCCTCACCCCAAACCTTCAAAATCCTCAAAGAATTGAGAAAGCCTTAGCAGCCTTAGCAAACGATTACAAGCAGTTGGGTAGTCCTGAGCCGTAAGGATCAGTAGTTGCCACTCAAAAACATAGAAGTTGCTGCGACTGCGTGCCTGCGACACTCCCCGCATGGGAGTCCGCTCTGGTTCTCCTGTATAGTAGGCGACTTGTCTCATTCATGAATAAATCACGGGATATCACAAGCCTCATGGAACGAAATGAAGGCTACTGAGACATGCTGAGACAAAATATCATGAAGTGAGGGTCTGTGATTTGGATTTGAGACTCATGATGACTCACCTGTCCTATGATGAACAAATATCGGCCCCATGTGTCCTGCAAATCGCTTGGCCAGTTTACTCATGGCCACGCCGCGGCTCTCTATCTTGAATCCTGGAGGTGCGAGCCAAGGATGCCACATGACAATGATACCACAAGAAACTAAGTGTTGAAGCTTGCAGAACTTACGGCAACCAAAAGTGCAACGTTGATGAGCTGAAATCGTTTTGAGGAGCACTACAAAGTGTTCATGCCAATCTTACGCCTGCGCGGAATAACAAGTTCTAGATCCAGCCTCCTGGATGGAAAAGTAGGACGCTGGAGTCCTGGAAGGTGAAGAGCACAACATGACTTCATATGAGCGTGTTCATGCTTATTCCGTTTCGATCAAAACAAAGATCTACAACGAAGCCGCGCAAAAATATGCACATTTGGGTCTACTCCTGCCGATGCAACTGGAGCCCAGGGAACTCTAAAGGCCTCAAAACGCCAGGCCCAGCTCCAAAACGCCAGGCAGAATTGCCTCAAATCTTGAAACCCCAAGTCCGGCAAAGTCACTTGGCTTGAAAGTCAGGCAAGTTTGGCGAAACACCGGCAAACACATAGAGTGGTTGTCGCGCCTTAGGCCTAGTTTGGGCTTGTCTGCCCTGACCTGAGCTGCACCCATCGAGATCCATGGAGCATGTTGAACACTTTGGTTTTCTTGACGCTGACCTAATTACTCTAGTAGGACCTACTCCTGATCTCACCTGAGAAGGATAGTGCGAAAGCCAGCGTATGACGCAACGGTCTCTTTTCTCAACAGCAACGGCCCCCGGCCGTCTGCGCAGGAGCTTCCTTTTCCCATAATAAGTCACAGGCTGCCGAAATGGAGCCGCATAGACCCTCATCTATTTATATACTGTATCTATATACTTGAAAAAGAGCGCTTTGCATGCAAGCGCCCAAGAGAAACTGCGCGCATAGAGACTTACAGGCCGAAACTTCAACCTGTAATGCTCCCGAAACGACCATTTATATAATTACTGACTCGAAAACGAATAGTTTGCGTGCAAACACCAAAGACAATTTTGCGGATAAAGGCTCACGGGCTGAAACTTCAACCCGTAGTGCTCTTGAAATGGAGGCGCATAGACCCTCAGCTACTTATTACTTGAAAAAATCCTTTGCATGCAAACACCAAACAAAGGATGTCAGCCATCATGATCGCATAGCTCCACAAAGTGCCCACGTCTATCCATCGTCCTTCCCTCCCTCCATCCATCCAATCCACCCCTCCAAGCATCCATCCAGTCATCATCATTCGTCCATCCACACAGTCCCCAGCTTTTCACCATCACCAGTACTGCCATCCCCATAACTCACTTCGTTCGTAAATATCAAACTTCAGCCTAGCCTGCCCGCTGGCTTTCGCATTTTAGTGAAACTCCCATACTAACTAACTGACCCCTCCCTTGTGCCTGGGAAGTGAAGTATTCCTTCTGCCTCGCCATGGAACCGGACAAGCGGATGACAAGCACAAAGGAAAAGAGTCGGATCTGCCATGATCTGAGCTGGATAGTTTCCCGGTTGGAGTAGGACTTGTGAGGTCAGTTTCAAAGCCCCCCATTGCACGTGGCCAAAAGAAGGCTCTCCAGGACCCCTTGGACATCTTGACTGGCACACCATTGTAGTTGCGGCCTGCGTTTCTTGACACCATACACATTTGAGCCACGAAGCTTCAGGGAACAAACTCAAACATGTTCGTGAACGAGTGCAGGCTGGCGATTGTTTCTTAAACATAGTCTGCAGCTGGATGTAGCTGGCTGAGTTTTGCGGCACAAGTAGAGCTTGATGTGCCATTTCGTTGTATACAGAGTTCAAATTCACAATAGTTACAAAAACTGTTAAAACAATCCCAATTGCGTGAGATCTGAAGTGCTGCCTCCTCACTTCGCATTGGTCTTCAGCACCTCATTCTTGGCAAGCGCGGTTTTATCATGTTGTATCATGTATCTTTCTTCTCATCAAACCTATCAAATGAACTGAGGTTGGAATGGTTTGACTTTCTTGTCAACAAACATGTGCAGGCCGAACGCAGCTTCCGTCTATTCTTAATGCGGTGCATTCTGCACGTGTCTTTTTGTCTTGACCGATTGCAGCACGTTTCGTGGCCCATCTTTCGCACACCACCTGAAGGCCTAACCACAGCAACCAAGCAGCGGAAGCCAAGCGGCCTCAAGGCTGGCTCCATCCTACGAGCGCAGTAGTAGAGTTACTAGCATACTATCAGGCCCATGAGAACCTGCGGAGTTAATTTTGCGCTGGATGACGTGGTGACATCCAAGCATGGCCTGCGTGCAACTGGGTGAGACATCCGACAGTACCTTCAGGGCCACTCCTCAGGACCTTCACGCTGGATAATCATGGCATCTTTGTCCATAAAGCCTCAGTTCCAAATCAGTTGCGTACTAAATGCTTTCACCTCATCATGACTCATCATGTACTACATGCATCTACATGCGTCTTTTTGTCTGGAAAACATGGTCAGCCAAGATGAAGGCAGCACGATGCATCCACTTGCATTGCGAGGCACGTGCAACAGTGTTCAGCATCTGCAATTGAATCGCCTCAACAAAAAGACTCTCATCATCTCTCATCTATATAAGGATAATAAGAAGGACAGGAGCCTCAGGAGGACACTTATATAGCAGTTTTCAAGACATGAGCTTGGATACTGACCTTGAGGCCCTGTTCTTCTCCACTCTGGCAGGCAATAATTAACAATTGTAGATCAAATACAGCGACCAAAGGTCAATGAACATGTGATACTGAACGTTTAAACATGTTCAAACCTGCATATGTGCTGATAGAAATAGCACACTGGCTGGGCTCTTCTCTTTAAAGAAACTGAACAAATAGGTTCTCCCATCCCTGCCAGGTCATGCCAGGTCCAGGTCCCAGCATGTCCCAGCAGGGTCCCTGCCTTGAGGTGCTCATTTGCCTCTTCTTGAAGTTGCACCATCTCAAATTGACAACGTCCGACATCTGGAACCTTTCGACGAAGTCGGTCAATAATGCTGGCCTGAGACGGCGCCAAGTGGTCTATTGCCTTGTGGCTGCACAGCCCATGTTGGGCAGTGCGAGTTGGCCGGGGATCCTTTCACTGGGGAGCACAGTTACAGTTCATCACAACTTCCAACTGAAATCATACCAGCGTCAGCCCTGTGGATCTTATGCCCAAATAATCAACGACTATCGCACTGCCGAACTCCAATGGCTTTTGAATAACACTGCGTATCAACGTTAAGGATACAGTATGCCCCCAGAATTCCGAGGCGAGTGAGTGCACACTCTTGAACGAAATCATAGCCAGTAGGTATTCCTTCGAGAGCGAGACCCACTTTTGCTTGATGATGAAGCATCGGCTGTGGCGTTGCAATGTTATTGGAGACTGTGGAAAGCACGAGAGTTGTGTTGGGCAATGGCAGCCATACATGACCAACCATCAAATAACTATTTTTGTGAACAAAAAAGTGAAAAACAAAAAAACATGCAAAACAAAAGCAAATGAACATGCAAAAGCAGCGCAATTTGCTTTGTTTTTGCATTTGTTATGCTTTCTTTTCTTGCTTTTTTCCTGGTGCCACTTCTGCACTTATGAGAACTTTTACCCGTCAGCAATATTTGCTGTACGCTCCTAGGAAAAAAGCGAAAACAAAGCGAATAAAATGCAAAAAAAAACGAAAAACATATGAAAAAACAGTGAAAACACGCGACAAACACGCACAGCTACATTTGTTTGCTTTTTTGTTTGCTTTACCTTTTGCTTTTTTTGCTTTATGACATTATTTTGGCTCCTTGTATCTATAGCTGACGCGCCCGACTCAACACGAGAGGTGAAAGCGATCTCACGGAATTCTCAGTTGCAATGCTCTGGCTTTGCCCGTGCCCACCTTGTGTCTGAACTGACATCACCAGGGTTCTTCGTGCTTGTTCAATCATCTTAGGGTGCTCGCACGTACATGATAAGAAACAAAACACACCTCGCAGGAGCCATTTTGCATTTTGCGCATTTTGCGACTGTTTCGACGACTGTTCACATTTGAATCGGACGGGCGCTGCCCAAAGAACGGAAGAATCAGCAACCAACCGGTACGAGTAGTTTCGGATAGGCTGCATCTGGGTTTACGGCTCAGGGGAAAAGAAATAACATATTCTGGTGGTTGTGGCTGCAGTGGTGCTTGTTGGCTCTTGCAGGAGTAGTAGCGGCTTCTTTGGTGGCTGCTTCAGATGGTTCCTCTCCCCTGACACGGTTGGTCAGGTACGGTGGTGGAAGAAAAAGTTGTTCTTGCCATGTTGAGGGCTGGAGCTCCAGCATCAGGCCTGAAATACTTGGTAAAGCGCTGTGGTCCAGCATTGCGGCCGGAAAAAGGCCACCAAAACCCCGAGCCATTTCCTTGCGCCACGGGTTTCCCGTGGTACGAAGGCGCAGCAAGTGTGGTGATGCGCGTGATTTGTGATGTGTTCAAAGCGATTGCATCATGGCACAAGATTCTCTCAGATCACCTACACCCCACCTACGGTTAAAACAAATCATGCCTTACGGTCTGGAAACTACCAATTTCCACACACCTTTCACCTTTCTCGCAAAGAATGATGGATACCTGGTTTCCAAATGTTGTTAGGGAACAGCAATACTTTGGAAGATCAAGTTCGATGCATAGGATTCTGCTCCTGCCTCCGATAAAAAAGATAAACAGGTCTCCTACCAAATTACTATATAAGTTTCTGAGCATAGATCATTTCCAAGCAAGTCACGGTCGTGAATCCTGAGATACACAAAAGGAGCCACCGCTGTAATAGCTCAAAAACGTGATTGCTGAGTTGACAAATGGACAGGAATGAAATGTCAGTATCGTGAGCCAGGTTTCTGCGCCACTCAAAAAGGATATCGCGGCACACTGCATGCATGTTGCCCAACTGAACAGCTGCAACGCCCTTTTGCACTTGCCTCGGAAAAGACTGTGCAATAGTCCCACATTGCATGTTGGCCTTTTCATGCCTTTTGTCGCATGACAAGAGCAACGGATGTGCTACTTGTTGATGTCCAATTGTATAATTACAACATGTACTCATGTACTCGCTTCAAAAGCAATCTTGCAGAGGTGCTTCAAGAGGAGAAGCTTTTGTTTTGTCAAAGCTTCCTAGGCTGAGCAGTGGCAGCAAAGCAGGTCCTTTAGCATCTTTACCTTTCAATTGATTTTCACATATTTTCACTAGACAGGCAATACGAACACGACCGATCAAGCTATTGAAATTGGGTCTCCTCCAGCTCAGGTATCTTTTTCAGCCTCTCTTGAGTTTCCTGCAGGCTTTGTAATCAAAACTTCTGGACGAAATTGGCAGCACGAATGCCCATCTCACAAAAACATGGGCGAATCATGGCGAATCGTTTCGCGTTTGCGAGTTTTGATGTGTCGCATCGAGGTCGTTCTGGACTGGACATCGCACACAACAGTCCTGCAGCTCTGTCTCTACAGCCTCTCGGCGTTGCACCTCCGTTAAGAGATACAACGTTTGGGGATATTGTTCCTGTTCTACACTGGTTGTTTTCTCAGGCAGCTTCAACAGCCTCTCAGTCCCATTTAAATAAAGAGTTGCGATTGCTGCTGTACATTGCCGATTGGCTTTGCAATCCATAAAGGATGTGGTGACATCGCATGGCCAGTGTTTGGCTTCACACTGGAATTGGCTGGAGCGGATATCGTCTCTCCAACTCCGCCTTGGGGATTCCCTTCACATAGTCATTTTGGCATCGCATGGCCGTGTCAACATCCTCGTAGCTCTGACCTGTGGAACACACATAGATAGAGGTACCCCAGGCCAGGTTCACCGTGCGTCTGAGGCCATTCTTGTACCTCGCAACAACTGGATAACAGTAACCTCCTGCACGTGCTTCCCCTGGCAGGCTCGGATGCTCAATCTCTTTGTAGTCTCTTGATTCTGAGATGCAAAAGGTGCCGTCTCCATTGTCTTCTTCGACTGGTTCAGGTTCGTTTGTCGCCTCTTCGACAAAACGCGGGTCCCATGCAAAGTCATGAATCATGTCGACAATCCTGCCAGGCAAGCGTTTCCGCAACTTTCTGATCTCTTTTGCCACGGGCGCATTTCCATCCACTGGCTTCACCCATTCAATGCTCATGCAACTTTGTTTCCGTCTAGAAAACACACTGCCCATGCTGCCCATAGCGAAGCCGTCAGTTGAGAGGATCCAAACAATTTCTGAAACGTGTCGATGCTGTTCAAAGTAAGCATTTCATTCTGTCGATGCATTTCTTGGAGCACTACGTTTCTTGGAACGTGTCGAGTGTATGGCTTTACTTGGGTCGCGTGTTGAAGTCACAAGGTCGTGCTGAGTCTTGAGGATTCCTGGGTGCTTATATCAATGTCGATATCCGTTGTCTGCAATGTCTAAAGGCTGAAGGGCCAAACAAAAGCAAACAGCTTGCAACTGAAAGGACACCCCAGTGACAGTGGCATGCTGACTTTCCGTATGATGTCAGTACCACAGCAGCATAAGGCAGTACACAGCTGGAGCTGTGAAAAGCACCATTCTTTTCCCGTGAAATAGCATCCATTTCCAGGCCTCATTGTCCAATTTGTGCTCAAGTTCTTTCAGCTTGGTCAAGTTCTCCTGTGAGCATCTAATCAATCACATGTTCAAACAGAAGTACACCACCACTCCACTCCACCCAAGCCTCACTCACCCCTATATACCCGCCTTGGCATATCTCCGCTGCACATCCTTCTCCTGAGCGCACTTTGGGCAACTCCAAGCCTATGCCAATCCACATATTCAGAAAGGCCTTCCATGTGCTATTCAAGTGAGAAGCAATCCAGGCAGCATAGGGAGTACCCACCCAAAGCGCCGCAGTTTCTTCAGGTACATCGGAGTTGAAGTCCTTAGCCAACTCAAGTTAAAAGAGTGAAGTTGAAGTTGCTAAAACATGTTAAAGGGAACCTTGTTGAAGCATTTGCTCTTGCCAAGGGACCACATGGTACTTGTAGTGACTGCTTTGGCGATCTTTCTTATTGTTTGAAGGTCCGGCCCTCTCCCAAAGTCCTGAAACGTCATTGCGACCAACAACTATGCGCTTGCTGAACGTGTTGCTTTTACAGCCGATTGTAGCTATATTGATAGGCTGTAAAGGCCGCATGCATAGAAGGAAGACTTTTGTGACACGAGCGCAGGTTTGTCGGGGTCCTCCAATGCATGCGGTTTGCTCAATTTCATGTAGCTTTAATTCATTTGGTGTAGTAACAAGAATCTACTAGGAAGTGATTATACATACGCTCTGATGCGGAACGATCTGCATCATGGCGTCACATTGGTTTGATCACAGCCATCGACATAGCAAGACAGTTCATCCTGAGTCAAGACCGTCGCTGATTATCGTGTTGTCCTTGGCCAAGCATTCAATCGGCCACAATGAAAGTTCCACTCGAATTACTGCTGCAATGCCTTCTCAATTGCATTCAAAATGCTGCAATGGACTGCACCACTAGCCACCACTAGCCAGGAACATCGAATCGCGCGAAATGTTCCAAGAATGAATGACTATATAGTTACAACATGTTGTAAAAATGCAACACCTACCCCGTGCCACCAGTCACGATTGGAAGCACTTGAAGCACTTTTGGAGATCTTAGCGTGAATGTTTGGCGCTGGATAGACTATCCATTGCGAGTGCGTATATGTGCGAGCAAATAAGGCGGAGTCGAATGAAGTGGCTCAAAGAGCCGCCGAGACTTTGGCTTTAGTACAGTTTTTCTATGTTTTTCTTGTTCTTTTTTTTCAGACTCTAGTTACTTGTCTATGTACTTCACCTAACTACCATGTCATCATGCGCGGATGTAATGTACTCTCTTTTTGCGGAGCAAACTGATGCATTTACATTCTCAAACATGGTTGGCAATGGCAAAGTTTCCAACACGCCTCCGGAAGCTTCGTGCAACAGTGGACGGTTTAAACAACTCGCTTACTGGATACCTTTGCAAATTGCAAATATCCCCTTTGCGGTGTTGGGGAAGAATGTTGGAATCTTTTGGGACAAACCCAACTGCAGAGTCCTGTGCTGAGATTAAGTGAGAGTTCAATAAAGTGTTCTATCTTTTCCAAGAAGTCAGGAACAAGAAGCTACTAGGGGCTCCTGGCCATACTACTAGGAGCAAGGACGCTACTAGGGGCTCCTGGCATCGCTACTAGGAGCATTCTTACTCCTAGTAACAAGAAGCTACATTTGACCTTCCCAACTTTGAGCTTAGCCACTCGGAGATGTGCTTCTCGAGTGACTTGAGCGCCGGCCCCCAGAACGGCCATGCCACGGGAGGCCATTGTCTTGCGCTGCATGGCAAGCGTGGTTTAGGAAACGTTAACAAGGATAGCACAAGAGCAACGATCAGAACTTCATGTGCTTAGAATTGGATCTGTATGATTCATCGTGTAAAGCAGGTATGTTGATGTGTACACATCTACACGATACAGGGCACAATAGACTAGACCATCTGCTGCTTAAGTGATGTGGTGTTTGGAACCTACGAGTAGCCTGTGAATCCAACACTGATGAGCAAGACGGTCAGAGGTTGTAAAGACTGCTTTCTGTGACCTTCGCAAAAATGGTGAGACCACTTAAGGCAAGCGAACCTCTCCATCCAGTGTTGCCCGCTGAGGTGCAGTATTGGGGTATGGTGGTGGAAGGATTGAATACTGCTAGAACATGTTTTGAAACGATTCCTTGCCCAAGTCGCTACGGGAAAAGTCCTTTAATTGTTGTGTGTGTCACATCCCGATTCCACAGGATTTGTTAGCCAGTTTCTGTCAACCTTCTGCACTTGGATAGACTTCCAGCATGTGAGCTGACCGAAAGATTGAGGGCTTGACAACAATGCCTGGAGGACAGCTGCCCAAAGGTGCTCCTTGGTCATTAATCAGAGGAAATAACATCAAGAGACTGCTCGGATAATGCAGGCTTGCATCGTTCGATTTCTAAAGCTCAAAACATGCCTTTGCGTCTTTTTTTGCTTTTGTTGCTTCTGAACTCCAGTTGCAGTGAGAAAGTAACGCCTGGAGTCACTAAATTTTACTGAGCCCTTACTATTCTGCTTTGCATGGAAACATAATGCCCGTCTCTCCAAGCGGTGAAACTTAATTAGGCGGGAGAATACCGGTAATCCTCAATCCAACAAGGTGAGAAAAAGCCACAGGGACAAGAGGCTTCGGAGGCTTCTTGGGAACATTTCGTCTGCAGCTATGGTGGTTTGCTAGAAGGCCCCTTGCCCACATAGATGCTGCAAATGTCAACGTTGCAACACACGATGCTGAGATATTTTGAGTTTGTATGCCACAGTATGTGCAAGACTGTCATTCTAGGTAGATGTTCCACAGCATCCAGTCCCTAATCGCCCCGGCCTCAGACCATGCTCGAACATCACAGCTACACATCAGTCACTCATGAGGGTAGACTGCACACATCGCGGAGCTGTCAGCGAACATGTTGAATGTAGGGATTGAGCACTTCGATGGACTGAGCAAACAGGCATCCCCCCAACCGACCTGAACGTGTGCAAACAACACTGTTGAATCACAGTTGAATCTGTGCCAAAAACAGCTCGTTTGTCATATTGCCAAGGGGCTTCACATCATTCACGGTTCACTTCATTCAGGGTTTCAGAAAAGGCAATGGCCAACGAGAAGACCCAAAATGGCCAACCAAATCTCCAGCTGAAGACAGCTCGGAGCCATTTTCACTTTCAGATCCAGCACCTCAAGGTGTCCCAAAAGGGCAAGGATCTTGACTGCTCAAAACAATACATGCTGTGATCATAATAGCATTCGCGGAGACTCGAGAATACCCAGTACATCCCAGTACCACAAAAAGGTTGCAACTGTTGCATTTCGTACAATTTACTATCACTGACTGGCCAGGCCTTAAAGGTGCCTTCAAAGATGTTGCGGAACTCAAAGGCTGACATACCCCAAACGCAGCATATTGACATAGGCATCATCACCCACTCGACCATGCTGCTTCGCACTGTCAACTCAGGATGCGTGTAAGCATCTGTGAGCAATGCTGCAAGCACTGCTGGGAAGAGCACCAAGCGGCAACAAATGTATGCGAGACTCAACATAGCTGAGTTCAACTTGTACAGAAAGCTCTGCTTGAGTTGGTGCATGTTGGAGCAGCACTTGACAAGCTCAATGTTGGCCAAGAACATGTTGGAAAATTCACAAAGACCTGCTGCGGCACCCCAAAAGTGCATGCTGCCCTTGAGCAATCCCGTGCCATAAACGAGGATCACCATAACGTGGTGCACAAGGATCCTCTTCCGGGATGCATTCATTCCTTTCCAGAAGAGGAATGGAATGTGGCAAAAGAGTCGGGTGCACAGGAGAAGGCATCCATGAATCGATGACCAACAGGTACCGTTCCAACGAGCATCAACACTTGTGGATAAGATCTGGATGGATCCAAAGGCGCTGGGAAGCCTCAGCTTCACGGGAGTCACTTACAACAAAAATCAGCAAAAGCTCCTAGTAGCGTCCTTGCTCCTAGTAGCGATGCCCTTTGCTCCTAGTGGCTTCCTCTACTGAATCTACTGGTTATCAGTAAAAAATGTTCCTAATACAATATCGGTATACACTATCAGTCCTTTGTGCGAGGCGTTGTGGCCTTGCTGCCAAGATGCAAAGAAATGCTGAAGAGGAGTAAGCAAATCGCATCCGCTGCCCATAGGTCACCTCCAGGTTCTCCACGTGCCTGCTTCGGATCTCTTGTTCGCGGGAACAAGAGCCACGAGAGTGGGATGGCTACAATCTGTCCGATGAAGCAAATCCCAATATAGATCATAGTCAAACGCAGCAACTCTGCGTTCTGCATGTTGTAGCGGATCTGAAGTGGATACGCGTCCGCTGGCACATCCATGGCACCCTCCATGGCTCAACTTCGATTGTGGGCCTTTGAAAAATGCGCCGTCTGATCCCAGCCGGCAACGAGTTCGTACAAGGGATCCGTCTGAAGATGTGCGCGATGATTGATTGCAACTTACCTCAATAGGCGATACACTGGCCTCATAGCAAAAGATGGTGTCAAGCACTAGAAATACAGAAGTGAGAGTGTCCACAGCATATAGTTGCTGATGTTGCTGGTGCAACGTTTCGTTGGACATCTGGGGCATGTTTCCACGTCGCCATCTTCAGAGTCTCCGTCGGACACCATGGAACCTATAACTCGAAGGTGAAGAACACAATTGGCAAAGAATTGCATGCTTTGGAGAGCGTACGTTAGTTTTTTTCTTTATCAAACCTTTAGATGTGTCTTCTTTCAATTCGGGATCTTAAGAAACAGAAAACCATGTCAGCCCTGTTCCGTGCTTTCCTTGTCATGCCTCCTTGACATTCTCCTGCAGCTCCAAACTTGCAGTTGCACCCATGGCCTTGCTGGCAGCTCTGCTACGTTATGCTCTTTTGACGTGGCATCTGAAAAGAATTATCAGCGGGCACTGCTCAGGGCAGTGCAGGCGTACGAAAACACGGTCGGACACTGTCCAAGCAATCAAGTGTCCAGCCCAAAAGCTCAAGTCCAAAACCGTTAAGTATTGTCGGCAGTGCTCTTACAAACAAGACTATCAAGAAGGCTCTTCGAAAAGAGAGTCCCTCTTGCGATTTCCCTTGCCTTTTGGCACGCAAGAACACTTTCATTTGCTGGTCACCTAACTAGTGGGATTGGCTTGTCCTGGTCACAAACTCAGGTCAGGCTTCTCCATTTGGTGTGTCAACTTACGAGCGAAACCGAAGCAACCTTGTGATGTAAGGCTATTGAAGCGAATACCCACGACACAACTTTCATATATTACGTGGCAACCATCTGGGCCTCAAGATTGCCTCGGGATCAGTTTCTATATTGCAAAAGAGGCCTTGTGCCTCATAGGGTTGGACGCGCCCACAGTCTCACTTGAAGCACAACGTGAAGATGTATCAACCAAGCAATCAATCACGTGTCTCCGCGCGCTTTGCATCGCATTGGATGCTGCTACGACAGCTGCTACAAACGTAGCACGCTCAGGTGAGGAGCTCTGATTTCGTCCTTGTGAACTCGTCAAACGATTACTCGGATGGCACATCAGAAACTGCTTGACAACTCTTCTGTCAGCATCTCAACTGTCAATAAAGATCTTGGATCGTGACATATCATGAGTATTCATGAGATTTCATGAGTCATATCGCTGCTGCCAGAACCCCACAACATCCCACGACTGTGCCCCGGGTCCTCAAACCAGCATGCTGCTGCCCAACAGCTTTTGAGGATTCTGGCAGGGTCTGGAATTACAGGAGGTTTCAGGACAGTGCGTTCATAGGTTATCTAAGTTGCTTGTTTCCTTCACTGAAACCTGCAGACTATGTTCAGGACCACGCGGCAAAGTTGTAGAACGTCGAGCAGCAAACAAATCCCAGGAAACCTCCCTTTGTTGAAAGCTATGGGCCCACCTTCCGCCAAGAGGGCGCGTAATTGTCGTGACGACCGGCATGATTTTCAAGCCTTGCAGCAAGTGCTTCGCTTCTGTGATTGTGCCGTGGGCTTCAACTGGCTTCAATTCAATAAACAGTAATTTGATAGGACAATACCATAGCCATATCCACCTTATCTAGCCCGCACTCGTTCTATTGCTTATTGAAGCACTTTTGAGCAGGCGGCCAGGCAGTTGCCCACGAGTTGAAAGTACATGCTGAGCACTCCACACAATTGAAATTCACAGCCCAGAAACCTGGTCTTGTTCGCAAAGTTGTCGAGATGCTTCTTCCCGTGTACAGCCTGCAAGTGCCAAGCAATCTTCCAAACATCATTCCCCAAAGTTCCCTCTACTCCAAGCAGCCTCTGTAGACTCCCAAGTGCACAGGCCCACAAAGTGGTCCTGTTGCTTGTGTGTTCTATGTCTTGCATGCGGCATTTTGAAAAACTCCCAAAGGTCACGCAGGTCGGGTGAAACATCCTTGCACATGCCCCAATTGGTTGAAACACATGATCATCCGCAGTACATTCGCGTAGATTCCATAACAAGCTATTAATATAGATATTTATAAAATAATGTAGAATATGCCTTTGTCCGGCTAGGTCAAATGCACGGGTCAATTGAGTGTGCTTCTGAGAGCATTTTCTACCCTCGACGTCCCAACAACATGTTGAGAGCATTCTATCTTGGTAGGTGGTCTTCAGCTCGAGCAAGGGGTTCGAACCTAAGAGCTTTTGATGCCAAGCAAATGCAATTCTGCCTCTTCTATGACCTTTTATCTAAACAGTTTCTCGAGAATGCTTGCTTTTTACATGTTTAACATCACCTTGATTTCCTGCTGAAAGTTGCCTCCCAACATATTCAAGACTTTGCTCGTGAGATCGATACTCTGGTTTCATTACCTGATAAAAGGCCAAAGAACACACGGTCCTGGCCAGTATTTATGAATGACTCCACGTATGTTCGTAGACCAGGGTACACCATAAGATTCGATTCAGTCAGGCGTTCAATGGTCAAAACAGGATGGTATAGTGACTAGTAGCTTCTTGCTACTAGTAGTAATGGCCTCCAACCTAGAAGCCTTTGTTACTAGTAGTTTCTTGTCACTAGTAATAATGCCCTGGCTACTAGTAGCTTAGGTATATACTTCGCAAACAAACATTGCAACTGAGAAAAGGAACCGATACTCTCGAAGAAGCCTTCATGAGAAAACTGAACATCTCATTCAATCAAAATGTCCGGTGTGGGATACCTTGTGATCTAAGCTACTACAAGTACACTCTACTATTCTATTCTGGCCGAAACATATTCTAAAACAGGACAACAACTTGCTCCAACCTGCTATGCTCTTTTTAGACCTATGATGTGGATGTGGATCAAGTATAGTCCAGGACCGAAAGTTAGAATGACGGTTTGGGAAATATCAATGCCGATTTTAGATGATATCAGCTGTTTACAGGAAGGATGATCAAGGATGCCAAAATCATGACATCATGACCCAGATAGAATGCCGTGGCACCTGTAAAATCCACAAAAAAGAGCAAAACAAACCACCCTTACCACAGAGCAGACAGATAGAATGCCTTTTTATGATTTCTTATATGTGTTGATATGAGTTCATCGCTTGCCCACAAAAAGAACAAAAGAGAACGACCCTTACGACAGATCAAACAGATAGAATGCCTGTTATGATGCCTTATATGTGTTGATATGAGTTCATCGCCATCGCCAGCTTGCAAACGGCTCAGAAGTGTCAACGCAATGCACATGAAACATGCAAATAGGATAGGTTGCAAGCCATCATACATTGCCCAGAAACACCTCATTGGGAAGCATTCCAACTGTGTGTTCCATCCTTCCATCCATCCATCCATCCATCCGCCTACCCCACCCACCCCATCCATGTCCATCCATCCAAACATCCATCCATCCATCCATCCATCCATCCACCTACCCACAAACCCACTTCCATCCATCCATCCATCCATCCATGCATCCATCCACCCTTTCCATCCATCCATCCATCCATCCACCTACCCACAAACCCACTTCCTTCCATCCATCCATCCATCCACCCACCCACCCATTTCCATCCATCTCCATCTATCCATGACCATCCACCCATTCATCCAACCAACCTTTTTGAAGACCCGTAGGAGGAGGCATTCCAACTGTAATTGGTTGTGTTTTTGTCAGTGTTTTTTGATGTTATCGGTTAATGGACACCGCCTAGAATCAGCCAGCATTCTAACTGTACAATACATCACAAATAACAGGCAAAAAACACGTATTTCTCATGTGTTTTCTTTAAAACACTCGTTCAGTACGGCATTCTAACTCATTCAGTACGGCAGTCTATCTCTGGTCATGAAAATTTTGGGAGACCGCACGCCATTCTAACTTTCAGTCCTGGACTATAATTACTGTCCCCATGGAAGGGAAAGTGCAACTAGCACACAAATCCTGAGAAATGCTCTAGGTCATCTAAGTTCCTAATCAAAGGAAGTTTAGTGTGCAAAACTTCCGTGTTACGGACATTCAACAGCTGTTCAACCACCACTCATCATACACCACTCATCATACACCACTCATCATACACCACTCATCAAACACCACTCATCATACACCACTCATCATACACCACTCATCATACACCACTCATCATACACTACTCATCATACACCACTCATCATACACCACTCATCATACACGACTGATCACACACAACTCATCATACACCAGTCATCATACACCGCTCATACACCAGCTCTGGTTTCAACAGCTCAAGCTCCAGGCAACTCCAGCTCCAGGTGCCGATTTCGTGGCAGGTGCAGCACTTTGTGAACCTCCATGCGCAGATTTCGTGGCAGGCACAGCACTTTGCGAACCTCCATGTGCAGATTTCGTGGCAGGTGCAGCACTTTGTGAACCTCCATGTGCAGATTTCGTGGCAGGCACAGCACTTTGTGCACCTCCATGTGCAGATTTCGTGGCAGGCGCAATACAAAATGCGTTGTGGAGAGATAGCGAACGCACGAAATGCTGTATTTTTCAATGGAACCGGTGGCTCCGAAGCTGGCAAGTCAAGGTCTGCGGAACGACGGTTGCGAGACGGTCTCGGGTCATTCTCGGATCATTCTTCGTCCCTCCATTGGGATTAGAGTTTTCACTTGTTTCTTGAAGTGCAGATTTCGTGGCAGGCACAGCACTTTGTGAACCTGCATGTGCAGATTTCGTGGCAGGCACAACAATTTTGTGAACCTCCATGTGCAGATTTCGTGGCAGGTGCAGCACTTTGTGAACCTCCATGTGCAGATTTCGTGGCAGGCGCAGCACTTTGTGAACCTCCATGTGCAGATGTCGTGGCAGGTGCAGCACTTTGTGAACCTCCATGTGCAGATTTCGTGGCAGGTGCAGCACTTTGTGAACCTCCATGTGCAGATTTCCTGGCAGGCGCAATACAAAATGCGTTGTGGAGAGATAGCGAACGCACGAAATGCTGTATTTTTCAATGGAACCGGTGGCTCCGAAGCTGGCAAGTCAAGGTCTGCGGAACGACGGTTGCGAGACGGTCTCGGGTCATTCTCGGATCATTCTCGGGCATGGTCGGAATCGTCCGTCCATTGGGGTTAGAGTTTTCACTTGTTTCTTGAAGTGCAGATTTCGTGGCAGGCACAGCACTTTGTGAACCTGCATGCGCAGATTTCGAAACAGGCACAACACTTTGTGAACCTCCATGTGCAGATTTCGTGGCAGGCACAGCACTTTGTGAACCTCCATGTGCAGATTTCGTGGCAGGCACAGCACTTTGTGAACCTCCATGTGCAGATTTCGTGGCAGGCACAGCATCTGGCGAGCTGGAAGCTGAGAACTGGCGGCTCTTGTAGTACAACTTTAGTACGCGGAGCAATTTGTGAGCTGGAAGCTGAGAACTGGCGACATTGTAGTACAACTTTAGTACGCGGAGCAATTTGTGAGCTGGAAGCTGAGAACTGACGACTTTCTAGTACAACTTTAGTACGCGGAGCAATTGTAGAGCTGGAAGCTGAGAACTGGCGACTTTGTAGTACAACTTTAGTACGCGGAGCAATCTGTAGAGCTGGAAGCTGAGAACTGGCGACTTTCTAGTACAACTTTAGTACGCGGAGTATCTGTGGAGCTGGAAGCTGAGAACTGGCGACTTTCTAGTACAACCTTAGTACGCGGAGCAATCTGTGCAGCTAGAAGCTGAGAACTGGCGACTTTGTAGTACAACTTTAGTACGCGGAGTATCTGTGGAGCTGGAAGCTGAGAACTGGCGACTTTGTAGTACAACTT